TGAGTACCCTATGCTACAGTGTATGATTACCCTATGCTACAATGTATGAGTACCCTATGATACCGTGTATGAGTACCCTATGCTACAGTGTATGAGTACCCTATGCTACAATGTATGAGTACCTTATGTTACAGTGTATGAGTACCCTATGCTACCGTGTATGAGTACCCTATGCTACAGTGTATGAGTACGCTATGATGCTGTATATAAGTACCCTATGCTATAGTATATGAGTACCCTATGATACCGTGTATGAGTACCCTATGCTACAGTGTATGAATACCCTATGATACTGTGTATGAGTACCCTATGTTACAATGTATGAGTACCCTATGCTACCGTGTATGAGTACCCTATGCTACAGTGTATGAGAACCTTATGCTACAGTGCATGAATACCCTATGATACCGTGTATGAGTACCCTATGCTACAGTGTATGAGTACCCTATGCTACAGTGTATGAGTACCCTATGCTACAGTGTATGAGTACCCTATGCTACAGTGTATGAGTACCCTATGCTACAGTGTATGAGAACCCTAATGCTACAGTGCATGAATACCCTATGATACCGTGTATGAGTACCCTATGCTACAGTGTATGAGTACCCTATGCTACAGTGTATGAGTACCCTATGCTACAGTGTATGAGTACACTTTGCTACAGTGTATGAGAACCTTATGCTACAGTGCATGAATACCCTATGCTACAGTGTATGAGTACTTTATGCTACAGTGTATTAGTACCCTTTGATACCGTGTATGAGTACCTAATGATACCGTGTATGAGTACCCTATGCTACAGTGTATGAGTACCATATGATACAGTGTATGAGTACCCTATGCTACAGTGTATGAGTACCCTGTGCTACAGCGTGTGATTACCCTATGCTACAGTGTATGTGTACCCTATGCTACAGTGCATGAGTACCCAATGCTATAGTGTATGATACACTATGATACCATGTTTGAGTACCCTATGCTACAGCGTATGTGTACCCTATGATACCGTGTATGCGTACCTATGCTTCAGTGTATGAGTACCCTATGCTACAGTGTATGAGTACCCTTTGAAACTGTGTATGAGTATCTTATGCTACAGTGTATGAGTACCCTACGCTACAGTGTATGAGTACCCTATGCTACAGTGTATGAGTACCCTATGCTAGAGAGTATGAGTACCCTATTATACCTTGTATGAGTACCCTATAATACCGTGTATGAGTACCCTATGCTACAGTGTATGAGTACCTATGCTACAGTGTATGAGTACCCTATGCTACAGTGGATGAGTACCCTATGATACTGTATATGAGTAACCTATGCTACAGAGTACAAGTACCCTATGACACCGTGTATGAGTACCCTTTGCTACAGTTTATGAGTACCCTAAGCTACAGTGTATGAATACCCTATGCTACAGTGTGTGAGTTCCCTATGCCACAGTGTATGAGTACGCTATGATACCGTGTATGAGTACCTTATGTTACAGTGTATGAGTGCCCTAAGATACCGTATATGAGTACCCTATGCTACAGTGTATGAGTACCCTAAGATACCGTGTATGAGTACCCTATGCTCCAGTGCATGAGTACCCTATGCTACCGTGTATGAGTATACTATGCTAAAGTGTATGAATACCCTATGCTACAATGTATGAGTACCCTATGATACCGTGTATGAGTACCCTATGCTACAGTGTATGAGTACCCTATGCTACAGTGTATGAGTACCTTATGCTACAGTGTATGAGTACCCTATGCTACCGTGTATGAGTATACTATGCTTCAGTGTATGAATACCCTATGCTACAATGTATGAGTACCCTATGATACCGTGTATGAGTACCCTATGCTACAGTGTATGAGTACCCTATGCTACTGTGTATGAGTACCTTATGCTACCGTGTATGAGTACCCTATGCTACAGTGTATGAGTACCCTATGATACCGTGTATGAGTACCGTATGCTACAGTGTATGAGAACCCTATGCTGCAGTGTATGATTACCATATGATACCGTGTATGTGTACCCTATGATACCGTGTATGAGTACGCTATGCTACAGTGTATGAGTGCCTATGCTACAGTGTATGAGTACCCTATGCTACAGTGTATGAGTACCCAATGCTATAGTATATGAGTACCTTATGCTACAGTGCATGAATACCCTATGATACCGTGTATGAGTACCCTGTGCTGCAGTGTATGAGTATCATATTATACCGTGTATAAGTTCCCTATGCTATAATGTATGAGTACCCTATGATACCGTGTATGAGTACCCTATGCTACAGTGTATGAGTACCCTATGCTACAGCGTATGAGTACCCTATGCTACAGTGTATGAGTACTTTATGCTACAGTGTATTAGTACCCTTTGATACCGTGTATGAGTACCCTATGCTACAGTGTATGAGTACCCTATGATACCGTGTATGAGTACCCTATGCTACAGTGTATGAGTTTTCTATGCTACAGTGTAGGAGTACCCTATGCTACAGTGTATGAGTACCCTATGCTATAGTGTATGAGTACCATATGATACCGTGTATGAGTTCCCTATGCTATAGTGTATGAGTTCCATATGATACCGTGTATGAGTATAGTAACCTAGTGACTTCAGGAGCACTTAGTTTGTGACTTTTCAATACGTCATAACTGTGGCTTTTGACCTTGAGACCCTACACTTTATATGTTTCTTTATTAACCTATTTGCAAACCATTCACAAAGTTTGGTCAAGAATGTCAAATTTAAATTAAAACTAACAAAATTACTTTTAGTTACCATAATCTTTGACCTTTTAATCTCAATACCTACATGCCTATTTTAGTCTCAAAGGCTTTGACCTTTTGCCTTTTTATCCAAATGTCAGTTAAGTTTGTCCTTACTCCAAGTTCAAGACATTCAAAGGCTTGGCAACTGAAGATAGGTGAGAACTCAAATTATTATGTGGAACAAAATTAATTACAGAGAAATAGGCAGAAAACATTTTGAAAATTATTACCATGATATGATCTTAAAAACAATTAAATGAAAAGGCAAAACTGACAAGTTTTGGTAAAATTCAACAAATAATTTATTTTTCAAGAGTACCATGTGACAAAAATGCATAAAGAACTTAGTATTGTGAATTAAATCCCAGATGATCTGAAAGTTCTATCACAAGTCAACAAGTACTTTGTTCAAAATAAATTCTTTAATTGAATGTGCTGATGCACCAGTAGTTTGAGATAAGCTGATGTGACAACAGTCTTGATGTTTTACAATGATAAACTCCAAAATGACCTTGAATGAATTTAAAATAATCCAAATTAGGGATTCAGTCCAAAATGTAATTGCGTATTTTGTAATTCCAATTTAAAATTTTTAAATAAATATTATTTTCAAATTAAATCTGAACACATATAATAATAATTTTTGAGCTGAACTTAAAAAAAGAAATTAATTGATTTATTTGATCAGAACCAAGCATAAAAATCAATGACTTAACAAAATATCCAGCATGTAGTTGAAAGTTCTCTTCTTAATTTCTACAAATAATAATACTAACATAAACAAAAATGCAAAAAAGAACTTGAATTCAAATATTAGTAAGCATCTGTATTACAACTTACAAAAAGATACAAAACAGGTATGCCTTCTAGAACCTTCTAAAGTCAAAAGACGTTCAACATGCTTACATTATTTTAAAATAGAATTTACAATCATAGACACAGGTTAGTCATATAATATATTGTTTACAAGTTTACAATGACCCTTACAATCAACAATCATGGACAAAAATTAAACACACCATACAGCTATACATAAAATTATATATATATATATATATATATATATATATATATATATATATATATATATATATATATACTGTGCCTTAGTATGTGCATGTAAATGAAAAAAAAACTTTTAACTATCTATTGGCTATAAGTGTGTGATATTGATACTATGCTAAGCAACAAGAGATCTGTGTAGACCTGTATCTCATGTGGGCAACGTACAGCTGTAACTTGTGAAATAGAAATACTGACTGATATTATTAATAAAAACATACTTTGTCCTTATCGTTGACAACAACTCCTCTTTAAGTGAGGATGATTCATGAATAGGACCCATTTTTAACACTTTAGTTTAAAAAGATATTTTCAATGCTATGTAAAATGAGTTATTATACAACAACTTGTTTGTGAAATAGAAATATTAATTGAAACTGTTAGTAAAAAAAAGAAATGTCCTCGGTCCTTTTCACAGACTGTCCTGTCTGAGAAAAAATACCCTTTTTTAACAAACTGCATTAGGAAAGATATGTTAAATGCTATGTAAAATGAGTTATTACACAAAGTAATTTCATTTATGAAATAGAAATATTGATCGAAACTCACAGTAAAAAAGTTATAGGTCTATTTTATTCAGAAGGAAAGTCCTTTTTTGCAAAATGGATTGGCCTTTTCTCACATTATACTCACTATTCTTAAAGCACCTCCTATGATCTTATCAGAATTCAGCTCTGAATACCCAGCACTTTGGTCTATCCATTGATATGGTATGAGTATACAATGGCTTCACAAATGCAGCAAAAATAAATAAATTCCTTTGAATGAGGGCCTCAAGGTAGATTAGTTCTTAGCTAATTGAGTTATCCTCTTTAAATAAAGTGATAATAATAATAATAATAATAATAATAATAATAATAATAATAATAATAATAATTAATAATAATAATAATAATAATAATAATAATAATAATAATAATAATAATAATAACAATAAAAGTATGGGTAGTTACTAACATAGCTTTAACAATTTTTCAGTCATATTATATATGTCATCCATGTGGCAGTTTATAGCGATGATGAATACTGGTGGGACATCATGCCACAGACATATAGAATCATGTCCCACCTAGTCAAATTTTCCTGACACCAGTCCTAACATTAACCTCTTAATGCTGTACTTTAAGCGAGGCAGTTGTTAGTACCATTTTTTAAGTCTTTGGTATGACTAAGCCGGGTTTCGAACCTGCAACCTCCCACATCCAAGGCAGACATTTTAACCACTAGGCCACCAGAGCAGTTGTACCTTTTTTCTGCAAGTAATGCAACACAAAATAATAAAGAAGCTGGAAACTCATTAACTTCTGACCAACACACGTTGGAGGTTGTTGCAGACAGATCAAAATAAAGAGCAAGTATAATGAAACATCTTTTCATTTCTATGTAGTAATGAGACAAGCACGAACGTAATAAAACAAATTGTTTTTATATACTTTTTCTATGTAGTAATGCAACAAGCATGAAGATAATAAAACAAAACATTTCTCTGGACATCAAACATTAACTGGTTGGTTCTACTTGAGGTTTTCTAGGTTCTTCCTCTAGCAGCTACAAAGGCTTCCATACATAGCCTATCATGTACTGAAAATGGTGTTAAACCTACAAAGCAAGAAACCTCACATTCATGTAAGCTAGAAGAAGAGTGTACTGATCTCCTATCTCAAATATTCCACACCACAACAATAATATTGATACTTTAGAAAAGTGCCAATGGATGATACAAGAGTTAGGACAAGGCTATCACTGAGGTGAATGAAATGTGTGAAAATAAAGGCATGTAACTGTCTGCTGCAGGTTGTTCTTTGTTTTGGAATGAAATACCTGAGTTGGAATATTATACATGATGTTCATTATTTTCTATATATGAAGTGATGATGCTGTGTGGCATAGGACAGAAACATTTTGCATTCAAGGTAGCACATATGAGAACATTATATAATTGCATAAAAAAAGAGTATGGGGCAGAAACAGAAATAAAAGTTAAGACATACTTACAATAACTATTATTAACTACATATTCTAAGTGTATACATACTTCATAAGGAACACACTGATGAAAAAATGCTGAATTGAAACACATATGCATATAAATATTAATATACAATATAAGTATCAAGTATGAAAAATATAGCTGGAGAGTATGTTATGTTGGCTCTGATATAAGATTTCAAAATTTTAGTATATTTCAACAAAATATGAATTAAGGATGTTAAATGTTTACAAAACACAGTTAATTAACTAACTATACTAGACCATGATATTGGAACTGTTGTTTCATTATTAAGAAACAACTTAGTAGCAATAATGCAACAGAAACATTTATAATATATATATATATATATATATATATATATATATATATATATATATATATATATATATATATATATATATATATATATGAGTGTGTGTGTGTGTGTGTCTAGCCTGTACAAAAGTAACAAAAGAAAGAGTGAAGCCAACTAACTTTGTAAATTTAACAGAACAATTTATTTTCCTAGAAAAACAAGGTAAAAGTATGAAAAAGTACTTATGGTTTGTGACTATAAGACAATACAATAATCCTAGAATTTAAAAATACAAGTCCTATCCATACACAGTTCTAAATGAACCCTGAGGAAGTTCCAAGATGGAAGGCGATGACATCCTCTATAACCTGTTTTGTGTTGTGGTGTCAACAGTTCCTTATTTATCACCAAGAATAATATTCCAGCTTTAGAAGTTCACATAATTTTCAGAAAATGTCTTTGTCCAAAAAATCTGATGAACACTAGAGAAAGTACTCAGTGAGAACAAATAATTTAAATAAAAACTCAATTCAAACTAGCAACAACAAAATAAATACCTTTGATACTGAAGGAATCATTTATGACTGACTAAAACTATAAGGACATTTGCTCATAAGCCCAATTGATACGCAAAATAAAGTCCTGGATGAGGGTCAATCCTCTAGAAAACCCTAACTGACACATTATTTCACACTTTGGCCAGATATGATCTTGACTAAAAGCATTGATTTCTTCACTGGGAATTAATGAAAAAATATTTGTAAAAAAATTATTTACCCCCAAGAGAATCTAGGTCACTGATTGATACACTATAAACAAAGCTACTGCATTGTCTACACACAGACTTGAACTGAATTTACTGGAAAAATGTCAAATCCAGTGAATAAAGTTATCATTACAATAACAGATAATTGAATAAAATTAAAAAACTAAACCTAACAATCAAGTAATTATATTATATATAACATTATATATCAGTTAACCATGTTCAAAATTAAATATATTTTCTATCTAACCTAATTATTCATATTTTATTCTTCTGTAAATGGCTAATACCTAGTTAAAATATTCTCTTTGTGTATATTCTCTTAGAATCGTTATTAATACAACATGTTTATTTGGGTCTGGGTCTAGGTCATTGGGATTCTCCATCAAAATATATGGTGTTCCTGGCATTTTCCAGTTTCTATATTATAATTTTAGTAACATATTTCCTAATTATAACTAAGCTTTTATCTTGTAAACATTTAAAACCTTCCAGATTGAAATTTTCCGTTAGTTATTAGTTTTTGTTTGTAAATGCTGTGGCCAGCTGTAGTCAAGTAGTGAACTGTACAATCTTCTTACTGGAAATTTTTTAAAATGTATTTACGATATAAGATCTTGAGGCACAGTTGTTACATTATGTTGCATCCGAATTTGATTGTATTGGAATTTATTTCTTTAAATTATTTAATTCAAATGATTTTCTCTAGAAAAAGATTGGAATGTACAGTGAATTCAAACCTAGATTTATATTGCTGTGTTTCAACAAATGAGCCAACACTTTGTGAGCCATCCCAGCCACATCAACACTTTCAGCTTAGGGCTTACTTTTTGGATTTTTGTCAAAGTTTATTCTAAAATTTATTATTAGGACTTGTGTTTGTAATTATATGATTATTTGGGATTTAACTCACAATACTGTGCATTGTATCTATATTTACACTTTATATTCTAGGCAAAAAATTATTTGTTGAATTTTTAGATAGTTTCTAACTTTTCACTCTATTTCATTACCTACTTGAAGACCAGTCATAATTGTCATAATAGAAAATACTACATGTGAACAGATTTAACATAAATAACTTTATTGATGTGTGATTATAATATTTATGGTGTCCATAATTTACAAAATTGTCATTTTCAGGCAATTGCTTTTATTAATTTCAGAATTAATTAATCTATTAAAAACTTTACCATCTATCCAATATGTTTAAATTTTAAGATTATATGTAAACATTAATTTTACTTTTTATTGACGTGGTCATAATATGCACTATTCAGTTACTATATTGTTTTATGTAGGTAGTAGATAGACCCCAAATATCAGGATGCAAAGATTCAAATCTAATGAAGAAAATAAATTAGATTGCAACCGGTACAATTTCCAGATCAGGAAATTTGGAAGCAAAAATACGAACCTCTGGGGTTTGACATATATAATAATGCAAAGCAGGTTGGCACTTTATTTCAAGATTTAGTTACGCATGTGATCTCGTGGACAAGTTTCACTGTCAAAAGTAAACTTAATATAATACATTTTTCAATCTAAAATAACTTAAATGTATATTAGATTGTTCATTGTGATTTTATAGTGCAAAATTCATCGCTCTTCAGCCTCATGCCCTCTACTTAGAAAAAAATATGCTTGGAATAGGGTAAAAAAAAAGAATCTATTTAATAAGACCCAACTTTTTTGTTTTTTTCTAATCGGAATTCTTCAGGCTTTTTCTATCGTGTTCAGCCACAACCCGTTTTAAACAAGGGCCGATTTGAAATCCCTCGAATGTATTTTCTGCTGAAAAAATAAAAGCAGTTCCCCACTCAATAAAAAATATCCGATGCCAAGAGAAAAATCTAGCTTCATGTAAAATGATGCATTTTTCAACCTAGCAAACGACGAAATTATATTAACAAAATAGTCATGTTGCTTGATTCGACGGTTAGAGTACTGGGTATTGGGGTGCATATAAATACCGAAACGCCGGAACGCAATAATAAACACCAAAAAGCACTTTAATTATATCGTATATACCATAGTTTACATTGGTTGTATTTGTATAATCCATATCTGCTAAATATAATATTACATAATAAATTTGGATGTACTTTATTTTCTACAAGTAATGCAACAGAAAATAATGAAAAAGCTGGAAACTCAAAATTTTAAACAGAAAGTAAAAAAAAAAAATAACAGCGTATATTGCAATTTATACAAGAGTTTAATGCTTCAGCTACTAACAATAAACACATGTTGATTTATTAAGTTGATTATATTGTAGTTATTATTAAATACATTTTTCTTAATATCTTAAGTTCTATGATATGTGAGATTTGCGCAAATCAGCCGGCGAAACAACTATATAGTTTAAGTGTAACTATCGTCAATTATTGAAATTATTGTCTGAATGCAAAGAAACGTGCGACAAATTAAGCGTGTCAAATCATTTCCGTCTTTCGTTGACCCCCCCCTTTTTCTTTTACAAACCTATTCTTCTGTTATTTGAAGAAAAGTATAGAATACTGGATAGTGGCATAATTGGGTTTAATATACAAAAACAAGTTTTGGAACATAAGTCAAAATATTTTTTTTTTTTTCATATAACACACAAATGTTTCAAATTATTCAAATCACGAGTTAGAAACATTGTACTTCAATATTTTTTTCTATCCAGCTTTTCTGTTTTGTTATCTACACAAGCAACTCAAAGTGAATATCTATTTATGCAAGTTTGTGTAGTTGTTTTGTCAGTTAGCTACTCATCGTCATACAGTAAAATGCATGGCGTTTTCCCATTAGTCCGTGTAAGAGTTCTTACTAAAGGATGGCTTCATGACCTTTTTTTCAGTTCTGTCAGCGTCGGCACTGCTGTTCAAAAGGATTGCTATTCGATTTATTGAGATCTGCTGATTAGATTGATATTTCAATTTCTCCATTCTTGTTGGAAGAGTTAGAATTATTTAAATCTACCCTTCTATTTCAAACTGCAATTTAAGAATTATAGCAAAATGATTTGGCTTGAAAGACATAAAATTGTCTGGAAATAACACATCTGACACCACATGATGCAAATTTCTGGATCAGAAAATTTTACACCTCTACCATGTACGATTCTAGTGTATGTTTCTGAGGACATCTCTGAATGTAGACCAACAAGTAGGTCTCTACTTTTTTTTTTTGAGCTGTCA